GGAAGCGTGCCGAGTAGAAGGGGAACCCGCGCAGACGGGGAAGCGAGCCTCGGTTCCTACCAGTCTCGTGAAAGCTCCTTTGGATCTCGACAGGAAGTTTCATTTGAGGTTCGATGTCGAATCGGCACCCTTGAACTGCTCAGGACGTCTGAGTTCCTAGCCAAGAAGCATGCTCCGTTGCCGTGAGGCCTTGAACCGGACCCATGGCGGCATCAAAGCCGCTCTGGAGAAGATGCCAAGTCTTTGGCCCGAGCTCGGCCCGCTGGAGGAACCCTTTGGAATTCTCCCTTCAGCATTTAGAGAGGCCCTAAACCCCAAACCCGAAACCCAATTTAGCTGCCGGAAGCCCTGAAGGACCTGCCTCGCGCAGAGGTTGCCGTGTCCTCGCCCTCCCATGTGGCTCGGCTGGAGAGTTGGTGTCGGAAGGCACGGGACCGCTCGGAGTTCAGCCTCATTGACCCAAGGCCGCGGCAAGGTCGTTGGGAAAACGCTGCTTTCGTTCTGTGTTGTGAAGGTCACGAACAAGGTCGAGATCGAGGAAAAGTTCCAGCTGACGAAGGAGGGAGTGCCGACACTTACCAAGAGCCTTACCTGCGAAGTTCTAGGACTCCATCGGCGGAAGCCTGTAGGCGAGATCGTGGACCATAGCTGACATCTCTCCCACCTTCCGATGAAGCACTTCGAGCCAAGGAATTTGAACGCCCGCAAGACTCCGTATGCCAAGATTCGAACTGGGACGGTCTCTTTGGGCAAGTCAGGCCCCTTTGGCCGCAGCGATGCTAAGGCGGCTCTCCTCCGTTTTTTGGGTGACTTTCTGTACGATTCTTTACACTTTCGCCGTCAACAGAACGCGAAAGCGCGCGCGCTCTACACTTCCAGCCCCGATGCCTCACGTCAGGGGAAAGAACACACCCACACCGAGTTAGTCTCATCTCTTTCTGTGCTGCTAGAGTTTTTTGAAGCCAGGCGGTTTGGATGTTAAAAAGCCGGAAAATCCGATCGCCGATTTGAGGCGTCCGACTCCTGGACGACTGGAGCGAGAGCTTCGTAATCTGCGAGCAGGACAGAGAGCTGCCGTGCAGTTGCTTCTCTTTCAGAGTCTTAAGAGTCTTAAGGCATGCTGTGGCTGCAGCAAGATTGTGGCCCTCGATAGCTTCTAGAGTCTGAGGATATATTGCCCGAGCTTAGGTGCTGATTCTTGCCGTTGATATTCAGGGTCTAAAGCGTGGGCACGCCTGAAGCCTGAGCCTTCGCGTTCTCTCGGTAGCAAGGAAGCCGAGGCCTTGAGAAATGCCGAGTAGCTCCGAGATAGGAAGCCACGAACATCTACACCAACCTTTACGGATGCCTGGCAAGAACTTCCGCGGGCTTTAGCCTTTCACGGGATGGTGGGCCTGTGAGACCAGGGCAAATTACGGTGTCTTTCCCAAACCGCAGCCGGATCAAGGGAGCGCGAGAGTTTCGAGATCGGGTTGTCAGGGTGCCGGGGTGCGCAGAGCTGAACCTTTAACTTCGAAATTTCCCAGTCCTGCAGAGCGTAGCAGGCAGACCCTTCCTGCACCCTTCAGCGAAGGTCCAAGGAATCTCACATCGCCCATTGGAAGCTTGACACGAAGCCGCCTGATCGATGTTGAGCCCAGGCGAGAAGCACCAGAGCAGCAAGCAGGCGTTCTCCAGCGTTCGGACCGCAGCCGCAAGGGTCTTTCAAATCCCTACAGCATTCAGGTTGAAGTTAGACTCATGTGGAAGCGAAGAGTTGAAGACGGTCCCAAAAGACACCAGAATTCTTGCTACAACGCCCGTCTCAGAGCCTTGTGCTTCGCAGCTACCTCGCAGGAGCAGCGTGGTCCGGAAGATTGGTAGGGAGATCTGCAAACGAGCCGGGGCTCAATGCTGGAGATAGAGTGCATGCAGACCGGGCACACTCTCACACACACAAACACTCTAATGAACAAATATACATATAGTCAAACGCACACACGCACACGCACACGCACACGCACGCACGCACACGCGCGCACGCACGCACACACGCACACACGCACACACGCACACACGTACACGCACACACGCACACGCACACACACGCACACGCACGCACGCA